ATTCAGAGAAATTTCTTTGCTCAGTCTTTTAACAGGAATTAAATCTGTTTCCAGTTCCAGGTAACACCAGATATCCATAGCACTGGCAAGAGGCTGGTGTTTATTTCTTGGATGCAATTACGCAACATCTGCCCTCGTATCAGTGCCTGATAAATTAGCTTTGGCACACACTGCAGAGAAGCTACTGTTACACAATGGAAATCTAGAAGATGTCTTGTATGTAGCTCAGGTCTCTTCTCAGGGGAGAAATTACTACAAAGTAGCCATCTGAAAGCAAGCATTCAACCATTTCTCCCCCTTGCACTGCTATGAAATATACCCTGCTGCTTGAGCTTCTCTGAGTCTGTCTCCATCTTCAAGCAGCCCAGCCCATTGCCATCCTGCTGTCAGCTAGGGAAAGGACAGCATGTACAGATGGTCCCTTCGCTTTGAAGGGGAAAAAGGGAAATAGACATTCTGTCAGCTTGTTTGCTGCATATAAGCTTGCTTTGGTATAAACACTGAAGAAATACAGGGACATAAAGAGCTTTGAATTAGGCCTTGAAAAGGAATCAGTGCCTCATCTTAAGAAAAAAAAAAAATGGTGTGAAGGACAGAAGGTTAAGTCAGACAAAAAAACACATGAAACCCTAGTATTAGAGAGTACAGCAAGAAAACAGAGAATACACCTCAAAAGCAACAGGGAAATGGCAGGCATAGATTGCCAATTAACATTTCACATCAAAAGAAAATTCTGATCAAAATCTTTTTCTTCTAAGCAGCATCAGGCATTTCCAGTATCTGCTGTGGTGAAGTGAGCATGCTTTACACAAAAAGCAGCCTAAGAGAGTAAGTCTGATGGCTACAAAGCTCGTGGAAACCATTTTACACAGCTGACAACTAGGACAAAGGACAAAACCCTACAGGAGCTCAGAGCATCAGCATCGCTGCCCTTGGTCACCTGTTGATTTCCACCTTGTGCCAGCCCCAGGAGACCCAAAGACGAGTGTCTCTCACCCCGCCTGTGTCTCTGTAAGATGCATTTACCCCATCTACAGTCTCCAACTGCCCAGGAAGAACACCATCATATGCATCCAACACATTAATTCACTGCTGGACTGAGCCCACCTAAACTCAGAACAAGCAGGCACCATGCAGTGCTGTAAGTGAAGTTAAAGGTGACTTTGCAGTGACTACCTGTTGTACCTTTGGTGACTCCTTCCTGAGGGGTTTGTAATCAGTATTTGCATATACGGATATGCACATCTATCACAGCCCTCCATGTGCCTTTAGGCAATCAATGATGGTTTCTATTTATACTGGCGTCCCTTCTCTGTCCTGAAGCTGGTGGAGGAACATTGAAGCTAAAGGGCAGTGGGAAGATTTTAGCCTCTGTCAGAAGGCCCTGAGGCTCCTATGGAAACTGTCACTGTGCTGCAACTAGCAATGTTTGCTGTAGGCAAACTACCTGCTTGTTTCCATACTGACAGTGAACATGTGCATGAGGTTTTTGGGGCATGTAACAACAAACTATAAAATAAAACCTTAAATTACAGAGAACAAGGCTAGACATGAATGCACAAGTGCACAACATAACTAGAGCAAGTGTAAAGGTTAAAAAAAATAAATCAGTAATTGCTTTGCTGTTTGGTTGCGTACAGAGCAATTCATGGCTGTGATTAATTAATTAAAACATTAAAACTCCAAGTGAGCTCAGACTCAGCAAGGCAAGAGCATGAGCATTTAAGCTGGCATTTTAAATGGCACATTTGAAAACAGTAGTCAGCTAATTTTCCTGATTTTCTAAAATCTTACCTAAAAATAAGGTCTTGACAGGTCAGAGCCTCCCCACCACAGCCCAAGCTCCAGCCATTAAGGAGAGGAGGGAGGAAAAGTGATCATTTGAATCCATACAGTTTTAATTTAAGTTTTTCCTAGCTTTCTATTGGGCATACAATTAACGTAACTCTTCCAGAGCCCAGGTCACAGCTGTAAGCAACAGTCCGCATTTGCCATTGTATTTCCCACATGAGATGGCGATATTTATAGCAACTTTCTCAGTCCCTCGTCTAGCTGACTTGTTATTGTTGAGACACTGACAGAGAAGCAGCAGAAGGGCCACTGCTCCAGCTGAGATTTTTGTAATAAATTACCCGTGGACAGTCACGGGCACACAACACAATGAGTCAGAGGAAATTACTGTTTATAGTTTACAGAACACATGTGACACTGAGCATGTTTGAAAGCAAAGTCCCTGCCTTCAATAGCTTCATTTAAATTAGCTGAGGCAGCAGAAGAGGGAAGGCAAGCAAAAGTAAGTCTTGCCAATTCATGGCACAGTGCCTGCTAATAGGTCACCAAGCAGGAAAGAAAACCCTGGCTTTATTATCAGCAATCAGCCCTGCACTCAGGTGTTGGTGACTTATTTCCTGAAGCTGTCTCAAAACATGACCAAAGCCTTTTTAAGGAGAGAATTTAACTCCTGCTATGACACAGATAGGACGTCATATTTTGGTTTCATGACCAAGTCCAAATATATGAGCCTTAAAGTATCAAGTATTTCTGCAAAGGACCAGCAGACCAACATGTGGTAGGTAGTCTGGCACAGGTGGTATAGACAGATGGACTCTGGCGTCCCCAAACACTGAATCTATGTGATGAAGGGAAGAAGTATGCCTGAGCACTTATTCATCAAGTTGGAGCCTCCTATGTAGGATAGGGGATGCAAATGTGAATAAACAGAGAATGGCACAAAAAAAGTGGCCTAGTCAAAAAGCTACCAGCAGAAGGGTGTGTGCATGTCTATGTACAGGTGGGGGAGGGAGAGGAAGAATTGTAATTGGGTCACAGCAACCAAAAGACAAATAACAGGACATGCTTATCTAATACCTGGGCTGCCATTACACAAATGCCAGGACAGAGGATGAATGAACAATTAATAGTTTTTTACATACCTAATTATGATGACAGAGGATTTGTGGAATAAAATCTATAGATTAAAATGCTGTTAATAAAAAGCTAAAGAAAAAATAAAGGGGAAGGCACTGGCACTATGACACAAGAGCTACAACAAAACCTACCTGTTCAAGAATAAAGGCAACAGCATTCTGATAAGACTTAAGTATCTGTTGGAAAAGCAGCATAGTAGGAAACAAAGTCCACCATGTTCTTGCAACAGTTTACGTAAGCTACAGGAATGGCTTTAAGTCAACCATGATTAATAGGATGGATCTGGTTAAGACCAAAAACATGTATGGAAGCCAGTCGTGAAACAAGCTTGTAATTCTGGAGGAAGGAAAGAGTAAACAGCACAATAAAGATGTTTCTGAATATTTCAACAAATTCAGAACTATTAGAAAGCTTCCTGTCATGATAATCCTCAGAAGTAACATGAAAAAGGCTTAGAATATTCTTATTAGGAAGAAGACTAAATAAAAAGTAGATCAAAATGCCTGACCAGGGAACATCCAGCAGTTTCTTTGCTTCGGTCGACATAAAGAGCAAACTGATCAGACGCCCCTGACAGACACGAGCCTGAACAACAGCTGATTCAAGAGTATCTTCCTCAGATACATGTTCTGCTCTGCTAACTAAAACAAAAGTGTATTTGAAGACCAGCAGATAATTCAAAACCAAAACAAACAAAAACCTTGAAAGAAATTTGTACGGCTTTGTTGTGCTAGAGAATGACAAAACAAAACTGACAGGTAAATTAGTGAAGAAACAAGACTCTGGAATTTAAGGTCAATCAGGCAACATGAAAAAACCACACCAAGTCAATTTACTGAGCTTTTGTAACCCTGTGAGTGTATGCATTGAGATGCGTGCCACAGGTGCCAGGAAATCCAAGAAGTTTAATGTCAATGTGAAGAAACCATCTCTAAAGAACAGCAGCACACGCACAACTGATTTAATTGACCAACCAGTTTACCCACAGGAAGGAAAATGGAAGTTTTTCATATTACAGTCAGAGTAAGCAGTAACATCAGAAGTTAGGAAAAAAATGTGAGCTAACTAGCAAAGGTGAGTCATACCTCAGACTATATAAAAAATGCACAACTAATTTATCCAGTATTTAAAGAGGGTTTGATTATGTACAGCAAATACAAACTTTCATAAATTATTTAGAGTGTTGTTCAATTAACCCTGAAAACTAAGAAGTAATTTTGCAGCCCTCACCCCCCATTAGGCTACCATCTATTCTGGGATAACTTAGCTAGGTAGCTCTGGGATATATATCAATTATTTCTACCTTAAAAAGACAGCAAACCGTAAATTTGTCATTGTAGCTGCAATTCTAAGCAGCAGTGTTTATTTGGAATATATTTCTAAAAGCAACTTTTAACAACGAACATTAGTGCTTCTGTTACAGATGCCATCCCACAACTGAGCAAGCAGCAAGATGTAAATTTAAAACATACAGTATACTTGCCTTCTACATTAAAGATAAGATTACACAGTTCAGCCTGTGGAAACTCAGGACAAATCAGCCTACCACAAACAAAAAAAAAAAGTTCCTGAGAATTTTAGGATTGCAATAAGGACTCATTTTAAAAAAGGTGAAGAGACAAGTACTTCCGATAGTAGCAGTTGAACCTCTGAGTGAAAGCCCTCACAGTATATGGCTCACAAACTTGTGAATATTTCTAAAGTATTCACAAGAGGCAACTATGAACAAGCAATCCTACTGAAAAGCTGTAGGATTTTACTCACCATAGTTGCCTGCACCTACACTGGAATCCCTGCCCCTTTGCCCCCAGAGAGGTTCGTACAAAGATTTGTAGTCCACTGATTCACATTTACACATTCCAACACAAGACAAAGGTACAGCTGTGTATAACTGAATGATTTTGGAAAGAATGTTTCATCATGTTAGTAAATAAAAGCTCAGCACCTTGCAGATCAAAGAATTTTTAACTAAATATTTTGTTTAGCTGTTAAACATAGAAACCAAAGCCTAAAAAAATACTACCAAACCAAACCCAAGCAGAAAATACTTGAAGAAACACTCAAATAACAGCTGGTGTTGTACTCTTAACATTTTACTTAAATGAAGTACAGCAAATTTCACCCATCCTATGATTTATGAAGTACATAAAATATGTACATAAAGGAAACGAAACCCCACTGAAAGATGGATCATGTATGTGTATATGTACCTGTAACATACACACACAAAATGTGCAAATTTCTTTTAATGCAAGTTAAACAAAGCCTATACAAGATAGTTGTACAATGATCCTGGAACAGAGTATCCTAAGGATGTTTTGTATCTACAGCCAGTGCAAACTTACAAGGCACAAACTCAATGCTGACACAGAAGTGTTGTAAGTCACATTCAGGCACATCTCAATTTGTGTTTCTTCAGAAAAAGACCAATAGAAGTGCTACTACTGTACTAAACTGCAAGCTTTCTCTCCAAGTTTAAGCACTAAATTGATGTAACATATGAAACAGTTATCAGTAGAGTTCTGGGTTAATTTATCACCAGAAAGTCTGTGGCTAAAACATCTGTTATACTCTCCTCGCACGTGAAAGCATGCTACTTCCCAGAATATCTCCCATACATTCTCCAAAGACTACCTACACCTTGCCAGCTTTGACATGTGGAATCTTACAGGATATTACTAATGTTTTTTTGTAACTTCAGTCAAACTCCTGCAGAAAGTAAATTGAGATTTAGAGACAACAATAAAAAAAAACCCCAAAACTCCAAAACAAGAACAGCCAGTAAACACCTTCCCACATATTTGCATTTAACAAACTTCTGCTAAATTGCATAGTGACAGTGCGTATCAGCTAGTAAAGAGATAAAAACAAAACCTTCCTCTTTAAGGCAAAATTCTGACACAGTATAGCAGAAAAAGCCAAATACCAGTTCCATCAGTATTTAAATAAAGTACTGGCCCATGTAGTCTTACCCTCACAGTGTTTTCTCCTTACTTTAATAGCAAACCCACACTTGCCATATGCTTGAGTAGCAAATTTTGATACATTTTTCTATATGAAAGGAGAGCAATTAATATGGAAACTGATTGACTGGTACTGAAAACACCCAAATATGTTCTCTTCCACCTGCAAAAAGGGGTTTTTGAGCCTACTGGGAGTTTAAAACTCACTTGTACCCAGGTTTAATGTAATACCTAAAATGGAACTAATGATTTAAAGTTTTCTAGCATTTAATAGACATTACCACATCACTTTGCTGCCTCACCCTAAAATTGTATTTTCATATTATTTTTCAGTAAAAGACATTTAATAGACATCTGAGGAAAACAATACAATACAAAAGCTTAAGGGTCTTTGCAAAGGTACCTTGTATTCCTTCTGCAAAGTCAGAAAGGAGTGATTTTATTGGCATTTATTTGAAGTGCCATCAGTAAAGACACAAGAATACTTAAGAAAGGGAAAAAAGAGTTCTAATGCTCCACATATATCTTTGGTTTAGCCTTCCTGACCAAAATCTTCTGTAAACTTCTTTAACTTCTCCAGGTCCTGTTCATTAACTGTTGGTTTTGTGCTAGCTAGCGACCTGAGCATATCAGCCTGTCAAAAAACAAAAAAGAAAACACGTGTTTTCAGAAACAAGTACAGTACCACTGCTAACAATCTGGTTGCTAAGACAAATATGCATTAAAAAGCCCATTAGAAAAATGTGGCCATAGGAGCTCCTATTTACACAAGGCTTTAAGTAAGCCTAAACACTCCTGCACAGAGGCAACATTTTAGCCCTGCAAAGACAGACACCATCACCGAGTTTTCTAATAATGAAATCTCAGGTTTAGGTTTATGCCACTCATCCATTCAGGAGTTTAAAAGTGGAAAATAATCAGATGTTCCCATGTGCTCTTTACAGTGCAAGCATATAGAATATCCGTTTGTGATTCATTTCTAGCAAAGTTTTACTGCTCATAACCACTAATTTGTCTCTTCAATTAAGTCAATTTCCTAGATAAATAGATACTAGAAAATGGAGTTCAGAAAAATCACAGATCTATAAAGTTGAAAGCAGCAGTTAGAACACCCTATGACTAAAAACAGACAAGAAAACTAATCAAGTGAAAAAAGTAATGCCTGACACCTCATATTACTATAAAATTATGAGCAAAAGCAAAAGTTAGTATCATGACTAGAGATACCCTGCTTAAAAAGAATTAAAAACCTGATCTTTTTAAAGACACTTAAATATCTGTGCAATTATAGTGCATCAGTCAGAGCCCTGGTACCATTAGGAGCACACAATGTATTATGTTGAACTCCAGGAAAGACTGATTAAAGAAATCCAGATAGACCATGCAGGCAGAAGTTCCAGGGCAGGCCTGCACCTGCATGTTTCCTTTTGTACTTCCTCAGTATGCAAATATGCACAGAAAATGATTTTCTGAAATATAGTGATGGTTATATTTACAAAGTAGTGCCTACTGCTTTAGAGGTTTGTGATCTCCATTAAATAAACTCATTTCTTTCATTCGTCACAGAACTTTGCACACAAGAAATGGCAGCAGCACAGATGTGTTTATGAAGTCCTTCCCTCAAATGAAATACTTAAATTCAGAAGCTTCTTTTTTCCCCTCTTAGGGAAAAAATACAGAATAAGTGTCCAGCAATTATTTTTTTTTTAAACAGTGAACTACAATTTCAATTTGTCTAAAAATGACACATTTTATTCCCTAGAGCAAAGCAAGGATTTTAAGGTGCACAAAGAAAACACCTAAAAAAGCTGTATCACCTTTGATGAAATTTAACCAGAACAACTATTATATCCACAATCTCTTTGTATTTTATTGTTTATGCTTCCATTTATCTCATGGGCAATATTTACCAACAGCACATCACCTCCCAGTTTACACTGAATATAATTTTGCATTTCCCAGTGTCGATATTAATGCTAGAGCAATGGGAAGGAAACATGTCTTGGGGCTAAGTTCCCAAATGTTTTAAATTAAAAAAAAATATTAAAAAAATAAAAAAAAAAATGGGGGTTGGAACTAGATGATCTTAAGGTCCTTTCCAACCATAACCATTCTATGATTTTATGAATAAAAGACAAGTGAAAGAACAGTGGAAGAGCCAGATGCTGTCTATGGATAAAAAGCAGCTGCATGCCAGCAGACAAGAACTATAAGAAAGAAATGCTTATCAGGGATAGAAAGCTGGCTTTTCCACAGGCTTGCCATACTATAGCACTGCATGTTGGGAATTCAGATGTTATCTGGTATGTCCAGCATCTGTGAAAACAAACAACTCCAACTGCCTTGCATAACCATTTGAAAAAGGTTTTAAAGTCTTTTCAGAGTTCTGCAAAGCAAGAAGAAAATGGTACAAAAGAATGCCTACCATGGAAACTTGAGGCTCCAGTAATTTATCACCAGGAACCTCCATCCATGTCATTTCTATGGCTCCAGGATCACCTGGGGAGCAAGGGGTGAACAAATCTACCACTGTATTTGGATTAGACACTGATGGTCCTTTTACCTAAAAATAAGAAAATAATCAGTTTATAGTAGTTAAAATCTTAAAGACAAAACCCAGAAGCTGAACAGCATCTTTAGAGCAAAAATATTCCTTCCTTGATTTTATACAGATATATTTTATACATTGATTTTATATATTGATTTTATACAGACCCACTGGGAAGACCTACCCTTTGAAAAATAAATGGTATGAATATCCTGACACCATTCCCTTTGATAATATGCAGCTGCAGCCAGATACTTAAATTCACATCAGGACAAATCCCAGAAGAAGCTTCCCCCTACGGTTGAGGATTTCTGTGGAAAACTAACATGCCAGGAAACCTAGTTGGAAAAGACCACCCTTCCCAGTCACTTTGGGAGTTCGTTCATTGCTGGTTAACAGCTTTCTGCTCAATAATTACCCTCGAGTGTCCCTCAAGTGAGGAAGCCAGAGACAGCTAGTCAATCTTTGACATAATGCACCACAAAGCTCTGAGCACTTCTGACACCACCTCAGCAGCACTCGAGAGAGAACAGCACCATCTAGTGGGAGAACAGAAACCACACCGGCTTCCCCCCGATCCATCTGGAGGAAAGCGTCTGATGTGCAGCTTCAGAAAAGCAGCACCAGGAATGTGTTACCTTTCTGCAACACGTTATCTGGGACCCACTGTTTTATTTTCCTTCATCATTACCTGAAGCATCATACATCCACAGGAATGCAAAACACGCAGAGACTGAAGGATACCACACTTGCTGGCTATTTTTAATAGCTGAGAACTGGATTTACTACCCCAAACTGCATTTAGAGCATGATGCTGGAGCGCACATATTGTAATATTCAAAATGCACTCTGACAAGCCTCTGTCATCATGTGGAGCAAGGAATGGTTTACAATGAATTAGTAATAATTGAAGAAAGCACTGTTTAACTGGGCCGAGTTGTCCATTATGATGCTAATAATTAATAAATCTAAGATTCAGCTTCTAAAATAGGAAACTGAATGAAACTGAAGTACTAACCACACACTCAGCTTATGCAAGAACATTCAAAGTACTCTAGTTTTTGCTTTCCCCCTTCCTTTTTAGGGGCAAAAGGAGGCCAGAATTCCTTCTGGCTTCCTCCACAAACTGTGATAACCAAGGTTATTTCATTGCTCCATGCTAATCCGAGATGTGCCTCAGATTCTTTGAAATTTGAAGAAAATGCTTAAAGGTAATAGCCCTTTAGCCTGAAATGTCATTATCATTTAGAGTCAGCAGTGGATAAATGCTTCAGGTATTGCTGCTTACAAGAAGGAAGCATCTAGAAAATCCTTGAGAGATCAAAACAGCTGCTTATTTTTAACCAAATACAGTTTAAGTCTGTGTTACTGCTGAGTTGCACCCAGAATAAACTTATCAAATCAAGTGTTTCAGAATACTTATTCTGTTTTTAAACTGGGAAAAGCTCCTCAAAAGCCCTGTAAAATCCGTTTGCTTAGTTCTCATTTATCTTTAATACTGTAACAAGCAACAATGAATCAATGTTTTTACCAGAACTTTACAAAAACCTTAATTTGTCAGTTTGAAAAATATGCCAAGCAAGCAGAATGTGCATAATTATAATCCATCTGTTCCCATGTGGATGAGGAATACATTTATTTTAAACATGCTAGAAAATCATAAAGAACCATGTAACTTGATCCAGAAATAAAGTACCTCTAACATTCCCATTTAAGTCAAACTTCAAACTGAATACTTTTAACACTACCTAGAGACATGAAGAGTCGTGAATACCCAGAAACTAGCTCCACCAGATATATGGCAGGACTGAGGGAGGTAGAGAGAAAGGAAAATAATAGACGAGAAATACTCCAAGTTCTCCCACAGTTGATAAAAAGGACACTCATAAGCATGCAATATTACCCAAAACCAAATTCAGTTTACTTGCAAGGAACTTTCAAATTAAGGTAGTTCTGAGATGAAATAACTAAAAAAAAAAATAATAAAAATTTCTACTTACTTTTTTAAAGTGAGTAGCTGATTGCACTTTTCTAACAGGCTGCATCAGTGCATCGCGTACAATGATGCTTATATCTGCACCAGAATAGCCCTCAGTTTTTTCTCCAAGCTTTCGAAAATCTGCTTCTGTTAGGAGATGTGGAGTGGACCCAAGGTGAAGTTTGAACATTGCAGCCCTGGCATGGTCTTCAGGTAAAGGAATATAAATACGCTTCTCAAACCTGGTTTAAAAAGAAAACCCAAAATGTTCTACAGATGCTAGCTCATGCAGGTGCATAGTGGAAAGAAGCTTATGCAAATAAATACAGTTTGGTCCTAAGAGTATTAGAAAGAAGCAGTTTCAATATTATAAACCTCTAAAAAACCCACACACTTAAGGCCAATATTCAACAATGTGTTCTCATAAATAAATCTGTAGCTAGCATAAGATAACATCCAGAGTCGAGCAACTACTTCCTTTCCATGACAAAGGTCTCTTCAGACTTAAGTTTGTCCAGATTCTCTCCAGTAGTTTGTGTTTTAAAAGAAAAAATTGAGGGGAAAATGTCTTCAAGTGCTGAAGTACATTTGAGCATTTTCATACTCAAAAGAACTGTCTGATAGCAAGCTGACACAACCACTTTCTACAGTCTCCAATTAAAGGAAAGCTCATAGTTGGAAGCAAATTTGAAGTCATTCTGAATACAGTTGTCAGTACAAAATGTTGATAACTGCAGTTCTTCCTTTGAAACAGCTTTTGTTCTCACTATGGGGATTACCTCCCACCAATGAAGTAAGAGTGACTCCGAAGTCTAGAATACAGTTAACTTGATATACATGACAAAACAGGTGAAATTAATGAAAAATTGATTATTGCCATTGCTGCATAAGTTCCTTTAAGTCTTATGGACATGAGTTAGAGAGCTACTCTTTCAGACTGCAGAGAATCCTAGAATGATTTGGGCTAGAAGGGACCTTAAAGAACATCTGCTTCCAACTCCCCTGCCATGGGCAGGGACACCTTCCCCTAGATCAGGCTGCCGCAAGCCCCAGCTTGGCCTTTAACACTGCAGGGATGGGGCAGCCGCGGATTCTCTGGGCAACCTGTACCAGTGCCTCACCACCCTCCTCATTAAGATTTCTTCCTCCAATGTAGATCTATGCTTTTTCATTTTAAAACTGTTGCCGCTTCTCCTGTCACTACAGACCTTGGTAAAAAAAAAAAAAAAAAAAGAAAAAATAAATCAAACAACCCCCTCCCCCCGCCCCAAACCATCTCTTAATCTTTCTTAAAAGCCCCTTTTATATATAGAAAGGCTGCTCTACTGTCTCCCTGGAGTCTTGTCTTCTCCAGGCTGAACAAAGCCCAACTCTCTCAGCCTTTCTTCACAGGAGAGGTGTTCAGCCCTCACTGATTATCTCCATGGTGTCCTATCTCTCTGTCTTCCACTGTGGACCCCAGTGCTGGAATTTCAAGAATGACTTGAAATTTTAAGCAACATATTCACCTCTACATCTGTCTCACACAAAACTAGTCATACAGGTTGGAAGCAACCTCTGGTGGTCCCCTGGTTCAACCTCTAATCAAAGTGTGATCAGCTTCAATTAAGTATATGAATAAAGTTTGTGACAGTCACAAAAAAAAGGTAGTATTTCTTTAGCCCACAAAAAATACCATTATCCAAGGTGTGTCCTCATCACAACATATTTATATTTGTCACATAGCTGTAATTTTTCCTCTGCTGCTCTGCAGCTCAAAGAAAGATCCAGCTAGTCAAATACAGGCATGGAAGCTCTTTATCTACAGTACAGGATTTAAAACATGCACCAGAAGATCGCATATTATGTCTGACCAGCAGAAAACCAGGGTGTTTCCATGTAACATAAAGGTACATTTCCATGAAAGAACTCAGGCTACACAACAGTTTAACAGCTGGAAAGGAAAGCTTTACTCACTCTTGCCCTTCTGAAATGCATTTTTTATAACTTGTCCCCCAAGTCCACCAGAAAACCAGCCAACAAGGAAACAGAATAGTTTTCTGCTTACTCAAGCACAATCATCTAAACTAAGAAAATCATAGAAAACTATAGGGCCAATATAAGAGTGACCAACCTACCTCTTTAAAGGGTGAGGGGCTATTAGTTTTGCTCAGTCCACCTCATGGAATTGAGTTGTAGAACATTAGCCATGTCTGCAAACATGAGCTGGATTACTACCTGAAGCAGTCTCAGGTTGAACCCTCACAAAAGTTGCAAATTTCGTACCATAAAAAAATGCCATCATACCTTCTCCTGATAGCAGAATCCAAAACCCAGGGTATGTTTGTTGCTCCCAAGACCAAGATTCCGTCATTGTCAACACCAACCCCTGTATCAGGGCAGACACCATTTTACATGTTAGATAATAAACAGAGACTGGTTTAAAATGTCATGAAAACTTAACAGGGTGCAACTGCAGATCTTTTACATGTTTTCATGCAAGCTACCCTTACCATACGTATCTTAATTCCTCTGACCAATTCTGAAAACCAAGTAAACTTACCTTGCATCTGGACTAGAAATTCTGTTTTTATCCGTCTGGCAGCCTCACTTTCATTTTCACTTCTTGACCCGCAGAGGGAATCTATCTCATCAATGAAGATAATAGAAGGTTTGTTTTCTCTGGCAAGCTGGAACAAGTTTTTCACTAATCTTAAAAAAGGAAACAGCTTCAGTTATCTTAATGATTACACCAATGAAAGCATATAACTTGAGATTATGATACAGTCACTTCCTTTAGAAAAAGCTGAAAAAAAAAAAGTAGTAATATAAAGCTACTCAAACTATGTAATATTCTTCCAGCTCCAAGTCTCAGCATTTTACTGAGTGAAGAGCCGAGCATAAAGGTTTTGCAAGAAAAGGCCCTTTTTCAGTTTACATTTGTACAAGACAACTTGGACTATACAAAACCACCACTCTAGGCAGATTGGAAAGAACACTGTGTTCTCTTATTTAACATCAGGGGCTGGAACTAGATGATCCTAAGGTCCTTTCCAACCCTAACTATTCTATGATCGTCACCTAATGTTATTAACATATCTTCCCAAGTTAAAAAGGAAAATAAATAAGAACATGCTCGGAAATCCTTAACTTCTCCAACACTAAATGTCAGGCAACAGCCTCAAATGAAGTTAAACAGAAAAAATGCCAAGCTGGATTCAAGTTCTGTATTCCTTTCGCAGAGGAGAAAAGCAGCTTAAGCTTTCCAGCTTTGTAGGAAAAAAACCCAGTTCAAATACTTAATTTAACAACCTTTCTTCCTCATCCTATCAACTTTAATGTTGCTCTGATGTCCACACTTAGAACTATCAAAGCACGGTTTTGACAAGTATTCTTATCATCACATGAAGTCCTTTTTTCACAGCAATCCCAGACTTCTTTCCTAATTGTAAGTCTTCACTGGAAGCCTAGACTTCTAGACCAGAGCCAATATGTCACTTTAGGTTTCCTGGTGGTCTTAACATAATACATAGTAACAAGCAAAGAGTTAGTATTGGAAACCATAAAATTTTCTTTCATGGCTGCTCCTCTTTTCCAACCTATTTTTGCAAGTCTCTTAGATTCCTGATACTGTTTGAAATCAGAATAAAGAAAAACTCCTCCATATGGACAAAAACATGTCACTTGTTAACAGCACAGCTGCTCAGAGAGATGAGTGAGAAGATGCCAAGAGGTAGAGTCCCCCAGCACTCCAGACTGATGTAGTGTGCATTAGAGCCAAGCACAGGAGAATGAGCTCCACAGTGCTCCTGAAACCTTTCTAAGCTAGTTTTAAAAAAACATCTACAGCACTGAAGAGAGGTCCAGCTGCAGCAGTACAAAACACAGCACATAATGATATCTTTCCCTGGAGCTTCAGCATGAAACATAGAAACACCTGAAGTTTGTTTTTAAAGACATCACCCTCCACTCAAACTCAATTTCTTCATAGCAACTTATCTAGCTTTATGTTAATTTCTTCTTGCCAGTGATTTCCCGGACCTCTGGCAACTCCAACTTACTTTTCACTTTCACCTAACCACTTTGATACAAGGTCAGAGGAAGATACTGAGAAGAAGGTAGAGTTGTTTGCTTCTGTTGCCACAGCTTTTGCTAAATAAGACTTTCCTGTCCCTGGTGGTCCAAACAGCAGAATCCCTCTCCAGGGTGTTCGTTTTCCTAGAAGAGAGAAAACATCAGCCTTCAAAATACTGTAGAAAGACTGAAACTATTTTTCTGATGAAGTCCTTTTAAGTTACTAAAGAGGTTTTCCATATCTACCCATGAAACTTCTGTCAGATTGATCACAATCCCTTTGTTAAAAACTCAGCTCGAGTCTCTGATACATTGGTACAACACTCTTCTCAGACCCCAGTGCTGCTCCTGACTGGCCAATAGCAAACAAATGCTGTAATTCTGACCTGTAAATAGGTGTGGAAATTTAATGGGCAAGATCACTGCTTCTTTAAGTGCTTCTTTGGCACCTTCGAGGCCAGCAACATCACTCCATTTAACATTTGGTCGCTCCATAACAATTGCTCCTATAAGAAAAGATTGTATAAGTTAGGGATGCGCATACCATTTACAACTTCAATAAAATCCATTTTGGGGAAAGATTAAAAAATTAAGAAATCTATGCCCATGTCCATACTGAATCCAAACAAGGCACTTCAAAGTCGATATAAACACTAAGTCAAATAGATGTTATTTATACAGAAATCTACAATGTTGTTTTACCACATTAAGCCATGGATAATCAGAATACTCAAGAATTAGTAGAGGTGCTGCAATGGCTAAAGCTAGTCTGTAACTGACCAGCAAATGTGCATTTAGTAGTCACAGAGGAGTACCTTCTCCAGTAGGTACACAGGCACCATATCCTCACTAAACCACCATTGTACTTCCCAAAAAATTTGAAATTTCATTTTAAACAAGGGAAGCAATGTAGCTGCACTAGTCCAGTATTTATAAGACTCTTCAGCAGATGAAGTAACTTGTTGGGTATCTCCAGATATGCAGCAAACAACTGGATCATCTAACGGTAAAAAGCTTCAAGAGCTAGGTCTGAAGGAATCAGAAAGGTTACATGCAGCTTGCTTAGCTGCAGAGTGTCGTAGTGTAACCACATTCTCTCAAAGTTTATCACTAAGTCCCATCTTGCTTAATCAACAAGGTCAGTTTGACTTTAGCCAATTGCACTATAATTTAGCCTTCTCTTCAGACTTCACATTGGTTAGCCTGACATACTAAAAATTATTTTGTCTTGATTACTTTTAGATGGGAAGATGGGACAAGGCAGCAATATTAAATACAGGAAAGTTTGGCAGCTGTTGTGGGAAGCAAAATAAAACTGAGTAATCTGAAGGCTGCCCAGAGCTTGTATTACCCAAGTAACAGACTCCTGTGTTAAGATTCAAGGTACCAAGGATCTCGCATCTCAGGCTTTCAAGCAATCAAATGTATAAGCAAGAAAACTGTCATTTTATAGGAGGTATCAAAAAAGTGGTGGATGCAAGAAACTGTTTCCTGAAGTAAGAACTGAGGTCAGATTCATGTGCGAAGAAACAAACCCTTTATAGTGAGAAGCAGCTCATCATTTTACTGTCATTTTAAAGCATAGGAAACTGTTCCACATAAATATGCACAGGATTAAGTAAACGTGCAGAGAAGCGTAAAAAGGTGCAGTTTCCAAAAATTATACAATAGCTCCTGAAGGCTATTACAAATATTGTATGAAATATGATACAATAGTCCCTGAAAATACATGGGCAGAGAGATCTGGTAAATGCATTTGATCTTCATTACACTGAAAAACAGAGTGGAGAACAATGAAGTTTCTTCAGATCCATAAGCGCTTTCTGGCAGGGAAGCTCTGGACAATTCTTCACCATTAAAGGGTAATAAATACCAAATAAAGCCTCTTTTTTTACTGTGTACAAAACAACTGGTAGCTGCTATACACTGAACTCAAATGCTGCATACAGCCAGTGATACAGAAACACCAAACTATTATTTACTCAACTGGGAGAACATCAACACTGCATATGAGAAAATACTGCCCATTACTATAAATAGGCAAGAATCCATGTTCTCAACTCCTAAACTTGAGCATAAGTTTCTGTGAAAATGTTCCTGCTTATACTGTTTGTATGTCTGTTACCTTAGCCTCTAGGCAATACTCTAATGCACTTAAGAGTAAAAAATATTGATTCAGTTTAGCCAACAGCTACATGGAATTTTGCAACTTCTCCCATTGAGAAACGCTATCCTGATAAATGGTACAATTTCCACATGAAGTACAGGGTACAGGAGATACATTTCAATATTGTCATTTTATGACTTCATAGCATGCAAGCCCATACTTCCAGAAATATTATGCTTTTGTATGTGAAAAGTGCATACTAGTTCGGCCACTTACAGACAGTTAGTTAATCCATAACATTTAGGTAACAAAAATATCAGAACTTGTTTGACTGAAATCCCCACTCTTTGAAGAAAAGCATACTTCAAAATTACCTTGAAGTTGATTCTGTAGCTTCTTTTTTTCAGGATCCTCTGACTCCCCTTCACCATCACTGTCATTCCTGATTTGAAACAAGAAAAAATGTTGGGATACAATAAAAGAGACTGCTGTCTTTGGATAAACATTAGCATGCAAAGTAGCAGGAAAACCACCAGGCTAAGGAATGAAAGAAACCTTGAGAAGCCTTCAGATCTCTACAAGTTTACATCATTGTACTACCGGTTTTCTACACCACATTCTTCCTAATTCACCCTCCTCACCATTTCAACTTCCTCTTACCAGTCTGAGCCCTCTTAACATACCTCTACATGCTTTGAGACAGCTGTTAGAAAACAAAAGCCCTTGTAGAAAGCAATATGAGTGTGCTAAAATCATTTAATTTTAGACATTGGCTCTTGTCCCCTACCTGGAATTGCAACAGAACTTGGTCAATTCCATCTAGTATTATTACACCCTCATCTTTTCAGAGCAAAGGAAACTGAAAGTTAAAGAAGAATAAAAGAAGACTAGATAGTGAACAATTGGAGAGGTCATGAAATACATGTAGCCTCTGTGATGTTATCAGCTCCTTCGATTATAAACCAGCAGAACACAGTACAGCTCAAAAAATAAAACTGATGAGACAAGTAGACAATGAAGGAGACTGAAAATCAGGTGAAGTTTCAAAGAGACAACTTAGTAACTATAGCTGTTCAGCACTGCTAAAAAGGACAATCCGCTAGAAGGCATCATTCTGAACCCTTTCTCTCTCCTATCCCCTCAATGGCAGTAGCAAATGCAAAAGAGGCTCTGCTTGTCCATCTCTGATATGCAAAATGAAAAACAAATCTAATACAAGGAAAGCAGCAGAAAGCCTGGGCAGCATCAAGGCATTAGGGTGATTCAGCCCATCTCACAGAACTTCACCCTACATAGAGCTTTGCACCTGTTATCAACTGTGAAACACATCAAACTCAGGCCACAGTAATCCTGAGTCTGAATTTATTTCCTAGCAAGTATTTAAATGTAGAAAAAAATTAACAGACATCAGACTCTTTGCCTTTAAATCTAGTAATTATGTGTTAGTCTGAAACAGCTCTTATTCTTCACTGAATTCCCTATGCAAATGATCGCACAGTTTAGTAAACAAGCACAGAAATTCCCGTGGTGCTAATTCATGTTAGCCTGCTGTATTTCAGCATTAGTAGTCATCTGGAGCATTTTAAAAATACTAATTAAAATTATCTTTGAAGAGTTGAATTTTAGCATAAGCTGAGTTCAGGAAGTATTTTGCTTTACCTTCTGCAAAAACATACCCTTTTCCATCAGCAGGACCAGACTCTTTAACTGGTTTTGGTGCAGCTTTTTCTTTCTTTTTCAGATATTCTTTCAGCTGTTCTGCTCTGTCCAAGTATTCTCTACATTTCATTCTAATGCTTTGTTTTGCTTTATCACCCTGTGCTTCATCTGAGAGTTTAAAGAGAAACAATGCCTTGTTAACAGCAAAACATATGTGTATCAGTCAGAAAACAAGACAATCTCTGCTGTCTTTATGTCTTATCAGTATACTTCTCTCAGGGCTCACCACATAACTGAACACCTCAACTACTTATTTTGCTACTATATCACAGAAAGAAATGACAGGAAGTCATCACCTACCAGAAAACAAATATACATGTGAACATTAAAATTTGACTGTAAAGGATTAAAGATAATGGCACTGGAAGCTTTACTGTCCACCTTTAAAGCTATACATTGCCTTAACTCATTTCTTAAAATACCTCATTAAGAAGCTGCTTGTACTAAGCAACTTCTCTTTAGAATTATACTTTATTTTTCCATAGCCTACAAATTTTAAAAGATGTTCACGTCAAAGAAAAAAAATACATAAAACATCTGAAGGAGTTAAGTTCAACAGCCACACTTTTCTCTTAGCCATTATTACAGTATTTCAAATCAGTAATCAAAATTTAACATGTTAGGTTTGTGTTAAGTTTTTAAAAATATATCAGTATTGTCAAAAGCACAGCAAGTGACATTCTGATAAAAGTCTGTAAGGTATAAATGTATAGGAACTGATAAGCACAAATTACCTAAGTGATCATAAAGAAAATAGTGGTGGGTTTTTGTTTTCCAGATCATGGAGATCTGCAAGTGCACTTACGTCAGGAGAGTCACCCCAGCCCACTTAGATTAGGACTGTACCTACATTAAGAAAGCTTACTCCTTGCATACAAATACTGGACATGACACAAAAGATGAAAAAGCATAAAATAATGAGAATATGGAAACTGAAGAAAAAATGCAACATACAAATCCATCTCATACATTTTGCTGGCCAAGATGAACAGCAGGCTATAACATTAAGAAAAATGCCAGCAGAAGAGGTTGTAGAAAAGCAACCAGCATCAATTAGGGAACAAAAAACCACTCTGTAGATACAAAGACTGCTTGTGTAACACATGGTTTTTCAGCACAACAGACATTCAGGGATCCCTGTACTTACTACATTTCCCTGTGCAGTGGCCAGCCTGACAACTGCTACAAAAGTCCAAGAGACACAGCAACCCCCTGACTCCCTGTCTAAACCAAAACACAAGTAAAAATAATCCAATTTCTTACAAGAATGAAGCAAACACACAACATGGTAAAAGCAAAAGCTGCAAAATATACAACCTCAGTCAAACTACAATTACCAACTGACAGTGATAGTAAAAATTTAAGTAATTATGTCAACATATGAGATTACCCTGTATAATGAAAGTGCTAAACTCTACTTAATCATCTAATACATTACACTTACATTTAATAATATGGAGAAAATACTGCACAGCATGTTGGTACAAGAGGAGGGCTTCCTCATAGTTTCCTGCTTTATCTTCTTGTGCTGCCTTGCTAGCAAGGTCTATTGCTTTCTGTAATACAAGCAAATAATTAGGTGCTACATGAGAGCACAATGCATGACCAAAGAGACACTTTAAGCTGTTGCTATGTTTTTTGACAGCCAGCTTTTCCGCTTTTCAACATTTACCCCAAAACACTTGAAGGCAAATGACTGCAAGTCTTACATGTGCTTTGTATGTGACATGATGTTGCTATCCATTTATAACACTGATTAACAAACTGCTGAAATTTACTAGCACACGAAAAAGTGTAAATGAGAAGAACTGTGTAGTAAGCTGAAACTACTACTGGTTTGTCTATGCAATTTACCTTACCAATTTCTTTCATTTATAATGGAAGGATTTGGAAATCCATTGTAAGGGTTTTTTTTTAATCACAGACCCAGACACTTTGAACTATGACTGACGACATCAGCAAACTGTCAACAGAGTCAATACAGGAAGTACATGATTACAATGCACTATCACACTTCCAGTCCTATACTGGGAGACATCTTCAAATATATTTGTTTGGCTTCTCTAGAAGGACTTAGGTTCTTGATATCCAAGTGAGAGATACTAATTTACACTACAGTGGGAGGGGAGAAAAAAAAACCCCACCAGACAGAGGACGTGCCCAAATCACAAGCATGAAGAAAAGTTCTAGAAGTTACAAATGGATTTTTAATTTATTTGTTGGGCTAGTTTCAGATAAAACTGTGATCTAACCCATTCAGTGTATTGCATACACTGACCTGTGAATTTGTTGGTATCACCGTTACTCTTTTGCTCTTAAGTGCTTATTACCTTTTAGTACACTTTCTTCCTTGGAATGCCTATACCACTTTAGGACAATTAAAACTGTCGGTGTGAATGACTAGTTCACGTAAGTTTAAAACAGAGAGTCGTTTAGCCAAAGTTACCCAGCACTAACTAAATTTTCTATAGCCCCACAAGTATTTTTCCACATCAGGTCAATTTATTTTCCTAAGCATTGTTACTATGCTTAGTATGATTATGGCAATGTCCAGAAGCGAGGTGGAGTTTCAACTACAGCAAGGAGTATCCATTAGACATTCCAGTACAGATACTCTTGCAACTATCCGGACACTCGGATGTGCTTCAGGCAAAACAAAACTAGTAGACAGTGGCCATGAAAAAAGAAATAGCAAAATCTCTCATTCTATTGTTCCGTGTTGTGTCTTGGAAGCAAAGATCATCTCAATAGATCTACCTGAAATCACAGAGCAAGTTATTTAAAAACAATGATCCAGTAAAGCGGACTATACAGCTCTGTTGTGGCAAGTGCTGGAACACTTTAAGCATCTGTTTCTTTGGAATAGAATTTCAGTCTTCCCTTTTTGGGGAAACCATAAGCTGATAAGCAGCTTACCACATACAACTGGGCAATCCCCTCCTTGCTGCTCACGCTGTGCTGGCTCCGTTTGGCCCCTCTACACACCACTCAAATCAGCAAAAGAGCAAAATTTATTCCAAAACCAGAAGATACTTTCTTAAAGTTAAGTACCTTTGACTACCACAGAACAGTCCAACAGTTCCTGGCTACAGTACAACAAAGTGATGCACATGACACTAAATCCGAAGGATAAATGGGAAAAACCACCTGCTAAAATGGATGTGTGAGAAAACAGAGGACGTTGCAGCCCTCTGAAAAAGAAGTCTATATGATGCAAGGGCTGGTTTTGGTATACTCTGCTTTTGTAAATACCAAAGACTATTACTTGGGTATTAGATTCTCACTCCTAGTACTTTATAACATCAGCTGGCATCTTAGTCTGCTACTGCGAAGCTCAACACTGCTATCAAACAGGAAATAGTTTATTAGAAAGTTGTATGAACCACAGCATAGATGTCCAGCTCTAACTATCCATGAGACACAAACTCTATTTATCAGTCTGTGGTTTGACAGCTTGATGAACATCATCATCAGATGATCTTAAACAGGTTTCATCCTCCTTCTGTTTATTCTAGACTCTGCAGTACCTCCCTTAGCTTTGCCAGTGTAAGCACTACATGGCCGTAATGAGCTTAAGAAAATGATCACGGTTCAGAACAGCTGAAGAGACAATGACTGTTTCTAACACAGGTCATTGCTGTCTTGCCAAACAGCCACAGAAAAAATTATACAGCCCCAACCGAGGGCTGGCACAAACAGTAAACAGAGCAGGCAAAAACTTCCTACAGTCCGCAGCCTTAGAAAAACCCTAAGCCAAACTACGCACCTAGCCCACAAAAGGCAACCGCGTTTCCCAGGTAGACACCAGGCCCCGCCGCTCCAGCGGGGCCCATCACCCGCTGCCAGAGGAGGCCGGTACTGACCACACGACTGATCCGCAGCCTCTTGCGGATTGCCGAGTCTCCGCGACACCTCCCGCGGCTGCCGGCCCCGCCAGCTGAGCCGTCTGCGCTCCCTATTCCCCCACCCCGCCCGCAGGCCCGGCGTAGAGCCACCCCCAGCCGCCCCAGGACCGCCGTTCGTTCTGGGTCCGCCCCAGGAAGGCACGTCGCTCTACCTGCATGTTGGGGCTCGCCATAGCGCAGCGTCGGGGGTTCACTGGAGAAGAGAGAGCAGGCCCGCGGGTGCCGGTGGGGAAGCTCCCCTCCGCCCACAGCGCCGAAACCGCGGCCTCCTCCACCAGACGCTTCCGCACCCCAGCACCCACCGACTGACCCACTTCCGCTTCCAGGCACTCCCCTAGCGTCATGACATGCGCCGTACCGCGCGTCCGGGTAGCTCTGCCCTGCCGCGGAGAGGGTTGTGCGCATGCGTACCCGTTGCCTAGCGCTGTAGGGTTGAGTTGGTGTGCGCGTTAGTTCAGTAAAGCGTTAAAAGGCTGTTGGTTGTTTGGGGGTAGAATTAATTCCGCTTCATTTAGGGAAGTTTCTGGCCCCTCTGCCGTGCCTCTCCCGCGGTTTGATGCCCTCAGTGGTGCTGTTTTTTGCCCAGCCCAAGTTCCGAATGCTTTTAGTGGCAGAACCAGCCCTTAATGGGCACGGTGATGAGCAATCGGGTGTTACTCGCCCGTGTGTTAGTAACACTCGGGTAAGGTGCGATGCCCACAGAATATGAAGGAGGAAGTGATGCAGAACATGTAGCAAATGATAAACCAGTTTTGCGAAGTTCCCTTGCTGTGTGGATGTGTGAACCTCTCCTAAGTGAGTGCTATATGCTTCCCTGTGATGCTGACATTCCTTTAGGGCAAAAAAAGAGAATACCTGGGAAACTTCACCAGATTAATAAACCTCGTTCTTTCAACTACTCCAAGTGACTACAATGTGAGTTTGACTTGGCATCACAGAATCATGGAATCAGCTAGGTTGGAAAAGACCTTTAAGATAATAAAGTCCAGCCATTACTCCAGGACTGCCAAGACCACTGCTAAACCATGTCACTAAGGGCCTCAGCTACATGTTTTTTGAACTCTTCCAGGAATAGTGATCCCAACACTTCCCTGGGCAGCCTGTTCCAATGCCTTACCACCCTTTCAGTGGACAATTTTTTCCTAATATCCAATCTAAACCTCCCCTGGTGAAGCTTGAGTCCGTTACCTCATGTCCTGTTACTTGGGAAAAGAGATCAGCCACCTCCTCACTGCATCCTCCTTTCAGGTACATGTGGTGAGATAGAAGTAGTTGTAAATTAGAGATTTGCCTGTAGAGGTAGTTATAGGTTAGTAAGTACACTTACGAATTCCAGTGTCACTTCTTGATTTTCTAATATGGTCGTTCAATGAACCTGTTAGATATTGTTGGTAAGCTGCCTGTTCTGGGCAGAGTATAAAAGGCAACCCCACAGTGACCCACATATCTGGGAAGGTTGTGGCAATCTTTTCCTCAAGTCATCTGGTTGGCAGATTATTTTGGTAAGTGACTTCATATACCCGCATACTGGAGGATGCTTTGGTTAATTTTTAGGCATGGTCAGAAGCAGTTGTTTTTCTTGGCTCAATTGCAAATGTGAGAAGATGTGATTTACCAAAGATAAAGTCATGTAATCAGGCTTTGGGAAGTGAGATGGTAAAGAGACATGGTTTATTGCATTTGTCACAAAAGACAACTGAAATTGGCCAAGCGATGAGAGAGCTGATGATGTCTAAAGGAAACATAGTTGCGTTGGCAGCAGGATTCAAGCAGAGCATCCATGGTCTGAAGTGCTCAAGAAGCTCTGTGCCTTAAATCACATGTAACTGCTTCTTTCTTATTACACCTTCAAAGCAGGAGGCAAACCCATCCTTTTTACACTTTTACTGTTGATTATGCCATCTTGGAGCCTTTGGTCTACTTTTTAACCTCCTTTTTAAAAAAAACACACACTACTTCCTTGGGGATTCAGTTTCACTTCTGTCTTTACCTTCTCATTCTGATTTGTGTAACAGCATATTGTCAGATACAGTCCTGTTACTAATATTCCTGGCTGTGTCATCTGTACCTATGATTTTCAAATCTGTAATGTTGTATTTAGCTTTTAGATCTAAAAGTCTAAAACAGTAAGTATGTCACAAGCGTGTAAGTAGTAAATGCCACCCCAATAGCACTGAACTAGCTTCTGAAACTCCACAAAACCCAGCTGGTTTCTGCAAATGTGAATGAAATTTAAAAGAAAGCAAATAAAAAAGAAGGCACCTATGTATGCAGATAACAGGCTAAGTCTTGCACTCCTTGCTTAAGTCTTACTCATACAGTATTCCTGCTATAATTGTACCTTGCAGCTAGTTTTGCCTGAGGAAAGACTGGATGAATGCTGAGTAATGACATCAAAATTAATTCCTGAGAAGCTAATGAACTGTCACATAAAGGATATTACTTCAATTTTAGGAACAAGTACAGTCACATTATCTAACACTTCCCAGTACAGAAGTTCCTGTGTTACCATATTCTAAGAATCCGTATCACAATGATTGTGTACAACAAGTGTAATGAAAATAAAGTGTTTTAAAGAAGTTAATATAGGTACCTATTGGCCTCAGCGAAGTCCATCTCTTAATTCCCTGGGGCACTGTTACTCACATTGCTGTGACTTCAGGTGAGTGGCACAGGCATGTATACTTCCAGGCTGAGTAAGCTACTGTGGAGAACACTGCCTGCTGCCATCTCTTGGTATGGAAGGAAGGTGTTCACACTGCATGCTGCGTGAACACCTTGGGCTAAAGACAGATGGGTATAAAACAAGTCATGTCTACAGCACAGCCAGGCCTCATAGCTGTGATTTTCCTCCATTACATCAGCTGAGAGGTAGCTAGAGATGACTAATATTAGTATCAGAGTGAGACTTCACTATTAACTAGATGACATGAGAGCTGTGCAGTTAACAGAAATCACTGTCTCAGAGGACTTAACTGATAATAGGCAAAGCAGAGAGGAAAGGTAAGAAAATATAACCTCTGTTTTTCTGTATTTTTCTACCTGGTGAAACTATGCAGAAAGATCACTGTGACCTAGGTAACAAAGGCTGTCAGTAACAAAGCTAGCAAGGAAAATTCAGGTTGTCCAAATCCCATTATGTTACCTTGATCTAGTTTGGTGTAAACACAGAGAGCTCATGCACCTGAAATTGGACCTCCAATGGATGTGTGGTGAAGCTGTGCTGAGCACAGGCTGTCAGTCTGGCTGTGTGGCCTGCACAGTCTGAAGCCTCCCCCTCTGCACCGGGAAACATGAGGGCCTCAAAAGCAGGAGCAGTGCTGTTTTAAGAGATCCAAGCCACCAGTTGTCATTGGGAATGTGTCTGCCTCTAACATAGTGCCTTTAGGGAATACTGCTGCTATGATATTCCTGGGTGGATGGCTGCCATCCATAGCCACTGAAACCACACCATCATGGTGGAAGAGAGCTGTATCCTAAGAGCCATTACTTTTAATGCACTCAGGACTTGAGGCTCAGAGAGGGTGTTGTATAGCTATGGTGCCCAGGAGGAAAAGAGTTAAAGTTGTACTCAGGTCCAGAAATACTGAAGCCAAAATAAAGCTGTGTTACATCTATGGTACTCAAAGCAAGGGTGAGCTTTGGTGCAAATCATGAAGGACTGTTTTTTTTGAGGAGTAAGTGGTCTTCAGAATCTGTATCTCATCACATGGCTTGATTATTTTTCTTAGCTTTGCCTGTGTTATCTTCAAGGGTAATATTTTCCCTATACAGCATAAGTCCGGTGATTTCTGGTGGGGCTTTCCTCATCATGTGCTCACCACACGGGAACTGTGTGGCGTTCTGTATACAGGTCAAGGATAAACATTTCAGCTAGGTCTTCTCTGGGTAGCATTTTGTATGTTAGGTCTTGCTAACTCATTGAGATTAAATGAATTTAATGGAGTAAAATCTCTTCAGTGATGACTTCATGCACTATTGAGCAGATGTGGCTTCAGGGCTGTATTGTTTGACTCATGTACATTTAAGATACCCAGTTTTGCCAGCTGGTGCTGCCAACTCCTAGCCACCCATATATGATTATGTGCTATGCATTGTTGAGTTTGGTGTAGCTGCATTTTTCTTTGAAATGTTTCCACAGTCATAGCATTTAGCAGGCTCACAGCCCAACTCACTTCAGAGATTTTATTATTAAAAACATTGAAAGATGTCTTGCAGCCAGTGCTTCTTTGAGTTTAGAAAGCTTCAAGCTTGGATTGTGCACTTTGGATTACTTCACGTTGCCTTCATTTAATACTTTGATAACCTGTAGAATCTCTGGAACAGCTCCTAAGGATAGTGTAGATGCGCTCATCCTCTGGGGTCTCTTTTTAATCACTGCCATGTTTTTTAAAAATATGTGCTCTAATCCGAAGAGAAATCATGGGTCTCAGTAAGTTGGTAGATCAGGTTCTACAGCCCATGTTATGCAAAGGTTCAAGCCAGCTGCTTGTCACAGCTTGTGTCTCACTGTCTTAAAAAGACACAAATCTGTGAGTTGACCCAATTTTTCTTTCTGGGGATTTTCTCTCCTGTGCAGTAGAAAGCCTGTAGTGTTTACTGTTGCCAGGCTTCCAGGAATCTAAAGTGTTAGGCAGTGAGAAGCAGAAAAGCAGTTCTGCTCAAGTATGTGCTTTTAAAAGTATTACCAGGCTCCTCTACACAGATGATGGGGGAATAACTTTTGCAGTTCCAATATGCAGCAGAGTAACTGAACTTAGCTGTTGCAAAGCAGAGTCACACTGCATGAATACATTTTAAAACTGATGTGCTACTTCTGATGTTTCCAGCAGACTTCATTCTCATGCTAAATTCAAAGTGTTTTTTTCCTGTGTGACTGTAGAGAGCAGTGTTTGCAACATTACTGAATGACTTGTAGTCTGAATGAACAAGGAAATAAAGGGTAAGTGACCTGTTCTGGGAGTAGACCATGCTGCAGCTCCTTCAAATAGTTTTTCTCCTGAATTGTGGTTTGTCTTGTAATTTTCTTCAAAATAGTGTTTTAAGAGGTGAGAGTCTAAACATCCCCTCTGCTTCAGATCTGAAGTCTCACAGTTCTTTAATTCACAGGAGGGTAGGAAAAACTTGGGCCATCCAAGGTGTCTTTCAACCAATATGTTCCCCCTTTCCACAGTATGGGAGATGCAATGGTGGTGTACCGAGGGATGAGCATCACAGTGATAAGACACTTACTGTTGCATCTCTCACTTATGCAGGCTCAGGGGAGCACAAGAAGTCCCACAACCACCAAAGGCCAGCAGCTGTACTAGGAGTAGCAGGCTGTGTAGCTGCTGCAGTCTAGCCTGCAATACATTTCTGGGCTAGCATTTCCTT